ATGAGCCCAAGGCTTGTGAGTCGTCCTTGGGAAGTCATTTCAACCGATTTTATTAGTCCCTTGCCCATGTCGCGAAATAGAACGGTTCATTTTAGTCGTTTGCGATTTATTTACCAAATATGCGCTTATGTTCCCTCTTAAGTCGGCCACTAGTACTGCCGTTGTTAAACATTTAGAGAACGATGTCTTCTTAATTTACAGAGTTCCGGAAAGAATTATATGTATGTTTCGAAAGCTGTCAAGGATATGGCTCGCTCGTATGACTGTCGGATAGTTTGCAATGCAAACTATATTCCGCAGGCTAACCCTACCGAACGTGTGAATAGAGTGCTGAAAACCATGATTAGATCATATGTTGGCGAAGATCATAGATCTTGGGATGTCAATTTAGGAAAGTTAGGTTATGCTTTGAGAACTGCTGTTCATGAGGTGACAGGGTTTTCTCCCGCGTTTTTGAATTTCGGGCGCGTGCCGGTGATCTCAGGAAAAATGCACAGTATTGTGGGTGATACCGACCAATTATGTTTTGATGATAGACTAAAGTTGTCCGATCATGTAAAAGAAGTTCGGGAAGTTTTTACAGACGTGAAATAAAAATTACAAAAAACTTATGGCGACGCTGCGCAAAGGTACAATCTGAGGAGCCGACCGGTAGCATTAAATACGGGTCAAACCGTATGGAAAAGAAATTATACCTTATCGGATGCCGCGGAGTATTATGCTTCTAAACTCGCCACCAAATCCGTGATATGTAAAGTTCTTAAGAGAATATCCAGGAATATCTATGAATTAGCTGATTTTTATTCCGGCAAGTCTTTAGGATCATGGCACGTTAAAGATATTAAGATAGATTATTAATCCTTTTTTTTGTTTTTTTTTTAAGTAAAGGTGGTGTTACGATTTATTTTTCTTACGGTTAAATATTTGTAAGTCAGTTTGTTAGCTCTTAAATCGGTAGTATAATTAATTTTTAATCAGACACTTGGAGACATCTGTAGGGGAAAAGCCAAATTAGTAAATTCAAATTCGAGCAAACAAAAGGCAAAGAAATAGATATCCATATCTCTGACGGAAAAACGGGCCTCCTCGCGGAGAACAAAGCGTTTTAGTTTTTTTTTTGTTGAAAATCGGTAGTAGTATATGGCCAGCTAGCGTGGAGATCGAAATTACGAATTTATTGTAAAGGCTGAAAAACGTTTAAATAACGGATTAAAACTCCTCGCCTAGCGACGAAGACGACGGCTGTGGTTATAGAAATTTTGGTTGTTGGCGCCGTCTGTTTCTGTATTTTATTTGGGTCATTTTATCACGTCTCCAAGTGTTAGGGATTTCGGCATTGGAGGTAAGCGTGTTTCACATTATCATTATAATAGAGTAAACCTACTAGATTAAAAAAAAAGAAAAGGCAAAGAAAGTATCATTTAGCGCTTGATATTCGGTAGTATGCCCCGTTTCATTACTATTTTTAGGCGTTTTGTCCGGAGGCAGCAAAGGTTGTCCACGCCCGATGTCTTTTTGCTGTTGGGTTCTCTTTTTATTGTAAGAAGAATTTGCCTACTGTTTGACGCGAGTCGTCCCATGATTATGTAGATAGCCGACATCCAGTAGAAAGCAGATTTGACTCTTTCGAATGATTATTCCTGCTGCAGTTACTACACAGCTAAGTACCACAACACCCTTTTTTTTAGGCAACTTATGCCACACTTCATCGTTTCTTCGATCAATATTACCCACATGTTAATACATTCGCTAAGAAGAATGTAAATAGTTTTAAATTTTAGTATAAGGTTAGTGCCATAAAAATCTTAGTAGTATCTAATAATAAAGGGGTATCTATTTATGGTTAAGCAATCTTCTGTGTCGTCCTGGTTGAATAAGGCCATGATATTGTCATTGTTATTAGTTTTAAGATAACTGGTATAACTAAACATTGTTTTTTTATTGCCGCCAATAAAGCTATGATGACTATTTAGTGGTTTCATCATTGTAGTTGTTTCACAAATTTATTTTTTTTGTCTACTATTATTTTGGCGAAGGGCATTAAATAATTCTGAAACCACTTGGCGCCCGATTTTTTTTTATTAGTAGGATCCACGCCCCCACTGAGAAATCAACTAGCCAAAAACAAAAATTACTACGTTAGCAAAAACAAATAGGCAACATCACTGTTATTTAAAAATTAAAATTTTTAAAGTTAAATAAATAAAGAAGAAAAAATAATAAAGGGGGAGATAATAAGGGTTAACAGTATATTCTGTTAGGACCCCCTTTCTTTAAATTTTTGTTAATTATTTCAATTTCTTCTACCAAACAAATGACAATTGTAGAAGAAATTGGTAGGAAGTCATAAATACAAAAAAGTGATGAAATCTTATAGCTAAAACTAGACTAAAATTGCACTGTTCACTTCACTTTAATCACTTGACTTACTTGTAAACTCTGTAACGATGTTCGGGACGGATGAAGATGAAGTCGGTGGTGCTGACCTGGTAGAAGGTAGAAGTTGGTTGTAGGAAATTTTTTATCGGCATTTCCATATTGGATGATGATGTTCTGATTAGAAAACTTCACTTAATTTAACAGTTTTTCTTTTTACATTTAAATGTTTTTCTTTATTTTCACTTTAACTTTTTTCCTTATTTTTACATTACCGCTTCTTTTTTAGTAGATAGTTAAACGATGGAAGTTGCCTGTGCTCTTATGTCCTTTATCACACTTGCAGTAATTCGTTTTTTAAACGTTTTCATGCAAAAGAATATTGCAAAGCCGCAGATCACTAGCAGAGACAAAATTACTATCGTTCCGGAAATAATTATTGCTGAATAAATTTGTGGATTAGTGCTACCATTATTTTGATTCACTAAAATTTCTTCCTTTGTATTTTGATTCCCCATTTTGCTTGATTTTAAAAACTTCACTTGCAAATGCGCTACATCCTGGAATCTTCTAACAAAATCCTGGCAGGATCGCCATGTGGTATTAACATCTGGGTTAAGGTATATTTTGGTGTTAATTCATAGGGAGTTCGAGTTAAGACTAATTTTATTTTCTATAACTACAACAATGTAAGTTTTTGCTGAGTAAGAATAATGTATTGTCATTGCTCACGCGACCGGATCTAGGATCTTTGACCCATCGCGTATTGCATTTATTGCAAAGTTGCAAATAGCGGTTAATGACAGTACAGGAGTTCGAGTTGCCACTGTCCCTCGGTTCTGCGTTCCGCGTATGCGTCTAATAAAAATCGTTTTAATTCTCTCCATCCCAAAAATGAACGATTTCTAGTAATGGCCCTAGCTTTATCAGTTAATTTGGTTTCAATTATAGCGAAAAGAATGTCTTTTTCTTCTGGTTTAATCAAGGACACCGCTTTGTCACAATTATCTATGAATTCGTATAGTTTCCTTTTGTTACCTCAAAACGGATTAGCATTTTTTCTGCAATTTCTAGAGATAGAGATATTATTTCTGTTTTAGGTTTTGAACTTGAGGGTAAGCCTAATTTTGGATATAGACACATGCGAATTGACTTACAGTAGGATGATGCAAATGCTGGACCTCATCTGACTGGTTTCAATGCTGAACAATGTTCACTTGAAGTTCCCTGCAGTTGAATTTTTTCTTCCAAAATTCGGAGGATTTTCCGCCTGTTGAATCTCACTTCTGACACCAATTTTTTATAATGGAACCTTTCCTTGAGATGAGGATTGAGACACTGACACCTTTTCTTTAATATTTTATTAATTACTTGACTAACACTACTATTACTATTCGAGGTAGTTGTTGAATATAATAAATTTTGATATCGGCGATGGTATGTCTCGGTTTCGTTGATTAATTATGAATGAATGTTTTGGCAGAGAGGTTTTTATTTTATACAATTCAACATGAAACATCACTGGCGTACAATCAGATTTTAATGTACACTGTTTACAATTATTTAGACTGCTGTCGCTGAAAGATAAACAAATAATTGGTTTGATATATCTACAACATTAACTTACGATTAAGCACAAAGGATTCATATAGTGGACACCGGGGCACAATGGTCATAGGGGCACAGTGGACACTTTTAAATAACTTTATTTAGGATAAACATTTCGTTGTTGCCATCTTTCGCCGATATTAAGAATTACGTCGCTGTCACGTGTCTGTAATACTAGCTTCGTATGTTAATCAGTTTTGACTAAGCAGTCAATTTTGGTAAGTTTGAATTTTATTTATATCTTTTTTACCTCAAAGGGTTTTTGTAAAATATTAACGCCATTTCGTTCTATAGAGTTTTTTGGATATAATGCTCTCATAATAATTGCAAATATTAACTAGATTAATCGGATGATTGATGATTATTAAAGAAGGTTATATTTGGGGTATACCGGACACATTTGATCAGGGGTACAGTGGTCACTACTTTTGAAGTTCAAATTAAATTTATTTGTTTGGGGGTTCACTGGCCACTGTTTTTTTATGTAATATCGAGAACTTTGTTCAGAGCTACTTTTTTTATTCTAGAAAATGGTACGTAATAGGCATCGTAAATCTAGTATTGGAACAACAGATAAAGAAACCATGTTAGAACCTGTGAAAGGTGTTTTAAATGGAGGCGTATCTATGAATGCAGCAAGCATTCGTTACTCCATATCCAGAACTACATTGAGACGTTAAGTCGATAAATGTAAAAATTTAGACATTAATTGGGATTTTGCGACATTAGACGCCGTTCCAAAAATGGCCCCCAACTATAATTGTAGAAAAATTTTTACAGATCGTGAAGAGAATGAATTCGCAAAATATTTTAAAATTTGCTCCAAACTTCACCACGGACTGCCACCTAAAGCTGTAAAAAGATTAGCCTATGATGTAGCTTTAGCAAACAACAAGAAAATACCGCAGTCATGGAATTAGAATAAATCAGCAGGTGAAGATTGGTTCACAAGTTTCATGAAGAGAAATAAAGACTTGTCAATTCGTTCAGCAGAAGCTACTACTATAGCAAGAGCAATGGGCTTCAACAAACCTGTTGTTCATAACTTCTACGATAAATTGGAAAAGACGATGAACAAATACAAATTTGGACCAGAAAAAATATATAATACAGATGAGACGGGATTGACGACAGTTCAAGGACCAACGAAAGTTTTGGCTGAGAAAGGTCAGCGACAAGTCGGCCAAGTAACATCTTCGGAAAGGGGCTGCCTAGTTACGATGTGCGGAACTATAAATGCGATAGGAAATTCAATTCCACCATTCCTTATATTTCCACGTGTAAATTATAAGGAATACATGATTAAAGGAGCTTCCCATGGCACTGTAGGTGCTGCCACTCCATCTGGATGGATATCAGCGGAAGTATTTGTAAAATATTTAGAACATTTTATACATCATTTACATTCCAGCAAAGATAATCCCGTCTTACTGATCATGGATAACCATGAATCCCACATTTCTTTGAGGGCTATTGATTTAGCAAAGTCTAATGGAGTTATACTATTACCTATCCCTCCGCACACCAGCCACCGGTTACAACCATTAGACCGATGTGTGTATGGTCCACTGAACCGCTCGCCGTAAAATTCCTCCAATCCACGGTAGTGTGGGGGTGGTTTACACGAACCAGGAAAAGGCTGAGACTTTCGCCGACAGCCTGGAACTGCAGTGTAGACTGCCTCAGCTGCCCGACGAAGACAAGGAGTTCGAGATAGTGGCTGAGCGCGCGGCCCGACGCGTCGACAGAGAGCCAGACAATGACATAATCCCCCCCGCAACACCTGACGAACTAAGACTGACAATACGCAGACTTAAAAACAGAAAAGCCCCCGGACCCGACAATATACATAACACGACACTTAAACGACTACCACACAAGGGCATCATGGCCCTACTAAACATAACAAACGCGACACTCAGACTAAGACACTTCCCTACCCGCTGGAAAACAGCAAACATAATCCTTATCCCAAAACCCAACAAAGATCACACCATCCCATCCAACTACCGGCCCATTAGCCTGCTCCCGGCTATGAGCAAAGTGGTAGAAAAAATTATCCTAACCCGTCTAAGAACCCACTCCCAAGAACTGCAAGTCATTCCAGACGAGCAGTTCGCCTTCCGACCCAATCACTCCACTGAACTCCAAATCCTTCGCCTTACCGAGCACATCACGGCGGCCTTCAACAGGGGACAGTACACTGGTGCTGTCTTCCTGGACGTCGCAAAGGCCTTCGATACGGTTTGGCATGAAGGCCTACTGATGAAAATGCTCACCAACCAATATCCCATATCCTTTACCAAACTCATAAAATCCTACCTACACCACCGAAAATTCCGCATCCAAATCCAAGATTCCCTTTCCACCACCCGTCCCATGGAGGCCGGTGTCCCCCAGGGCACCGTCCTGTCCCCACACCTATACACCATTTACAACTCCGACATCCCACATCCCCCCAACACCAACATATACTTATACGCCGACGACCTGAC